AAGCTGGGGGGGGGGTGTACCAGCCCCCCCATCCCCCTCCCTCTCCCCCTCTCTCCTCTGCGTTCGCAGCGCCTCCCTTGCTGCTCTCTCTGGCTCTGAGTGCCCTTCGTTCGGACCCTCTCCGTCTGTCTTTCCAAAATCTGTGTGGACCTCTCTTCATTTATTCTGTGTCTCTTCTGGCTCTGTCGTTCCTGTTGTCCCCCCCTGCCACACACACACACACACACACACACACACACACGCTCATGCTCCCAAATGCAAGGGTCAGCCAGGGTAGAATCGGAGGGGGCTTGAGGTCCACTGTGCTCCGCAGGTAGGAAAAGAAGTCGAGGGGATTGACGGTCCCTAAGGAAGTGACTGGTGAGGAAATGAGGGTTTGTTCCTTGTGCGAGCCAAAGTCCGCCGGGAAAGCCTCAGGATGTGCTTTTCGGCTGAATCTACATCCGCTGTAGAAGGAAATATGTCAGGAAGCAGCCACAGCTGGTGGTTTCATCAGCGTCATAATCACGGGAGAAACGTGGAAGACCCGCGTGGCGGGAATGAAGAAGCCGCTTTCTGCTCGCCCCAAAACCAGCTGGCGCCCGTGGTGTGGGCGCCCCTGGTCTCCAGGAGACTCACTCAGAGCCGTCTCAGCCCGACCCCTGCATGACCAGAACTTTCCTTAGCAGCTTTTCTGTGATGAAATATTATCTTGTGTTAGTTAGGAATAGGAACTAATCCGTAGGAGTATGTCCCCAAATGGACATTGGGACTGACAAAAACAACGGTAAGAACTGAATTTCCGATGCCAAGAAATGATGAAATTAAAAAGCAACAGGCCGGGAAGACTTGAGTTTTGTAGGACCTATTCTTATTTTAATTGCTTCATCCCCGGTCTACCTGGGAAACTAAGAAGGAAATTCCTTTTTCAAGGCCTCTTTGAACCCGCCTGGGGCCGTGGTTAAACTTCTCTGCCCTCTGGAGGTTCTTCACACTTGAAAAAACCATTTCCTTACCACCAACAATCTGAAAAGGCCAAGACGGAGGCCAAGTGTAACCATTCACAACACCTAATTGTAACTATTAAAACGGCAGGAACTGTGAACAGTGAATTCAAGGGTTGTCTTCTCAGTGAGACAGTATGTGGCACTTTAGTAACTTTCCTTTAATATATAAAATTTTAAGTCACTCAACTGCAAAATGCATTTAAGATCTTCCAAGAAGGTATAGTTTTGTTCTGCTTTGTTTTGAAACAGTTGCCTCAAATTTCTGTCTTAAGAGTAGTGACTTAGAATCCAGACATCTTTCCTTTTAGAAAAAAACAAGCAAAACTACGCTGCGAGACCGATCGTTGTGATGTTTATTTGCCACAGATCAAAGGTTCACAAAATATATTAAATCTACATCTACTTGGGGTACCTTGATAGATTGGGGTTTTGGTTTTTCTTCTTTGATCTTTCCCTTCAGGAATTGGAGCCTCGATGTACATTTTTTGTTTTAAAAATTCTAAATTTTAAGGGTTTTATTTCGCCAAATGTGCGCATTCATATTCAAAGCAATGAAACGATTTCAAGCCATACAACCACAGGGGTGGAAACCCTTTTCACAAATTTTAATGTGTTTGTATGTAAATAGATGTTTGTATGAAATATTTTCATGGTAGAATGAATATATTTAAATGAAGTTGAATTATTCCAGTGCTGTTTAAACAAATTACAAAATTTTTGATGAGAATTATCTGAGTCTATTGAGATACAATGCAGATCAATTTTGATTTTTAAAAATCAAAAGCCTACAAATAACTCTGACCCAAGGCAACTTCCCTGCGTTGTTGCATCTGACGTGGAGAGAGCTTGTAGGCTTCCCCAGTGCCTCAGCCACTTCTGGTGTAAGTTAGGTGCTCGTGGAGGTGTGTCCACCTTTCAGTGACATCACTCCTGGCCTTCGGGGGGCCTACGAGTGGGTTCAAGGCATTAGAGACACTGGTGCATTTATCCAGAGCACAATTTCTTTGCAGGGCAGCAGAATCAGAAGCCAGACGTGGCCACGTGAACCTCAGAACTGGGTTTTCTGGCCACCCTCAACCGCCACCCTTACTGCCTAGTCACACACGTCAGGGAGGCTGCCCTCAGTGGAGTTGGGGTTCAGACCCCGGGGTGGGACTTCACAGTTTTGCTAGCAGTCCCTGCCTCCTGGCCTCCACCTCGCAGAGAGGAAGGAGGAGGGCGCACCCGGCAAGGGGCCCATTTCTCAGCACAGTCCATTTCTTGTCTCAGCTCTGGGAGACTATGCACGTAAGCACCGAACTTCCAACCAGAGAGAGACGCCCTCGGATATCGGATAACGCCAATCCTTGCTTCCTGCCTGGGACTTCAGTACCAAGACCCATCACGCCCCTAGGACGCACTTCCCAGCCCTCCTGACACTTATGTTACCAAAACACTCCTTTATAGT